TCTGCTTCCCAAACCGCAACCCTCCATGGCCTGCTCATTCACTGCAAAACTGCTGAGGAACCCCCACTGAGGTTCCCTCAGAGAGTGCCAGAGCGAGTCTATCAACTGCAGACAGCAAGGGCCAAGGCAATCAGCAGCACAAACCTCTCTCACCAACTTTCCCTCCACACTATTCTATCAAGAAATCAACAGCAATCGCTGCGGTACATTAACTGCACTGGGGGGACCCCACACAGATAGGGAAGCACTCGCCCATGGTCAGGACAAGATCTACACATAACCCAAGTAAACTATAGTTTAGGCCCTCAGATTATGAGGCGCCTCCACATACAAAAAGTTTACTGAATTTTAATGTTGGAATAACCTTTGGGGTAAAGCTATGGGCTTTCAAAACATCACATAGTTTAGGGCTTCATCTTGTCTTAATCTGGCCCTGCCCATGGCTCTGAACCAAGAAGCAGGACTTATTGTACCACAGCCTCTCAACCTTCTTCACCCAGCACCTTCACCAGTGAGGGCACCCATGATCTAGGGCAGCAGTCACCAGTGTGGTACCCATGATCCCCATGTGTCTCCTGGTGCTCACTTAATTCTTGAGACTTGGGGTTGAAATCCAAAAGGTCTTGAATGGAACAGGGATGAAAGCGGGGACCTTCAGGTACGTGGACTGACAAGGCAAGTGCTGAGCTCGTCCTGGGCAGGAGTGCCACAGGCGAGTACCCTGAACTTGGCCATGGTCACAGATGTTCTTATGTCCTTAGCCCCGGCAAATCTCTCTCTGTGGTCAGACAAGGAACAAGCCCTTCCCTTTCTTTGTAAACTGAAGCTAAACTTTGTAAACTGAAAGAGCTGATCCTGGCTTTTCATTGCCTTCAGGTGGCATTGTAAAAGAGACCACTTTTGCATCTGTGGGGACTGCCCATTCAGAAGCACCTGCCTCCATTTGTAGGAAGATGATTGGCTTGGAACCCCCATCCGATGGCTGTTATGTTGTGTTGGCATATGCCACCCTCTATCCTTGCTAAAAAAAATTCCCACAGACTTCACCAGCATGGGTGCCATCAGTCTAGGGAATGGAACGGAGGCATCTTCTTGTCAAGATAACCTCAGGGTGCCCAGGCAGGAGTGCTGGAGTTCAGGTTCTGCATGGCAGAATAATGAGCCAGGGATCACTAGGGTTCTTCTCTGCCATGGAGCTCAGTGCCGGCGTCTGGTCTGGCAAAGCTGTGAAGCAATAATGAATCCCTGTCTGAGAATGTACAGAATGCATGCCCCTTACTCCTGAGTCAATGCAACATGCCTTCCTATCTAGGGGGGTAAGCATTTGGGTCAGTGACCTGAACTCCAAACATTATCTTTCTGCAAAGTCATCTCTTCCTTCAGGAGACTTCAGTAAAAGCCAAGAGGGTGCAAATCAGGAGACAGCTGGCCACTGGAGGTCTAGAGAGGAAGGGCAAAAAAAATTCAGGCACAGTCTGAAGAGATTTATTATTCCACTGTCCCTTTTAAAGCACTTTGAGCATATGCAAAATGGTTTCAGGGAGCTATACTGCCACCCTCACTGTTATACCCATTTTATACATGATGAAATGGGGCTTGAGAGATGATACCATGGACTTGAACCTGGGACACAAAATTTGACAATTTCTTCATGGAACCATATGGCCTCCTATTAGCTATAGGCCATTTTCCATAACAACTGCCCAGCCAGCTGGTTAGCTGATTGGTTTAAAATCTATAACAATATGACTGCTAATTCTTATACCAGTTTGTAATACTCTTTAGGCAAATAGAGATGATTCCCCCCCCAAAAAAGCCAAGAGCATTAAGAACTCCCCTTGACGGGAGGCTGGCAAACTCAGCTGTTTTCATATGGTGAAATCAGCACAAAGACTGACAGAATCCAGGTGCTCTCCGCCGCACTTCCTCTGCTCACACCTTGCATGGACAAATTCATCTCCTACCACCAAAATTGCAATGCCAGCTCCAACATAAGACCACTGGCTTAAACACACTTCCTAATGTTCTGATAAGCGCCTTCTGACCATAGTGAAAACACAGATGTCTCTCCCCTGCATAGCTACTCTCTCACCTAATCCTAATCCTGGATGAGGCCACCCAGCAGGGATACTCCGCCATGCTATATTCTCCCTTTCCAAAGGCATCCCATTTTCAAATGCATCCAGAGCCCTGAACGTCGAACGAGATATCAGGTTCGAATGCCTGCAAACAGAGAGCTGCCATTAATTTGGCTCCTGAGCACAGCTGGCCGAGAATCTTTTATTCATAGACTCTGGCTTACAGCATTACTATTTGATGAAAAGCTGCATTCAGGAGAATCGAACATGTTCATTGAGATGGAGTGAATACAGCGCAGTGCTATTTGTCCACGCAGACTTTGTACCGGGCAAGTTTCACAGCCCTTCACCCCTTGATATATTAGCCCAATCTTTAGAGGATCGGTCCTCATTATTGTGCTGAGCAAGCTTCTCGCTATACAAACAAGCCATTCATGATGGAACCTGCATGGTGCTCTGCAGTTATACAGACCACAAAGAGAGAGGTGGATTTGGTCTCTGTCTCAGTGGAAAGTCAGGAGCCCCTGAGCTTCACTCCCTTTGCTAAACCAAAGGTAAGGGGAGGATTGTCAAAACTCTTCCACCATTTTCCAGTGCATTTTTGTCCCCAGAACATAAGAACATAAGAGAAGCCAATGTTGGATCAGCCCAATGGCCCATCCAGTCCAACACTATGTCACACAGTAGACAAAAATACCAGGTGCCATCAGGAGGCCCACCAGTGGAGCCAGGACACTAGAAACCCTCCCACTGTTGCCCCCCTAAGCACCAAGAATACAGAGCATCACTTGCCCCACGCTGAGAGTTCCTATCTATACCTTGTGGCTAATAACCACTGATGGACCTCTGCTCCATATGTTTATCCAATTCCCTCTTGAACCCATCCATGATTGTAGCCACCGCCACCTCCTGTGGCAGTGAATTCCATGAGTTCTTTGGGTGAAGAAGGACTTCCTTTTATCCGTTCCAACCAGACTGCTCAGCAATTTCATTGAGTGCCCATGAGTTCTTGTATGGTGAAAAAGGGAGAAAAGTACCTCTTTCTCTACCCTGCTCTATCCCATGCATAATCTTGTAAACCTCGATCATGTCACCCCTCAGTCGTTATCTCTCCAAGCTACAGAGCCCCAGGCGCTTTAACCTTTCTTCATAGGGAAAGTGTTCCCACCCTTTTATCATTCTAGTTGGAGCACCAACTTACTCTTGGGACAGCAGAGCTAAAAGAATCACGAGGTTCCCTTTCAGCCCTTCACAGAACCTGGCAGGAGGGAGCAGGAACCCTGATTTGGGGGGGTGAGGGAAGCAGGTGAAGATGCCCCCCCAGCTGCTTAGGTCTGTCCAAACAGCTGTGGATTGTTTATTCATCACACACAACACCTGGGGAAGAACACAAGCTTCCCGCTGAACAATCCCAAACTTTTGGAACCCCTTGACCAGAGATTTGTGCATCCATTCCCTCCTCTTGCCTACGGGCAGTCATGGCCTAAACAACCTTGTAGTAACAGAAACAATAGAGAGCTCTGTGTCATCCTACTATGCCCCCCAAAAATCCAATGAACAAAGGGAGCGAAACCAGCATGCAATGCAGAGGGGAATTTCTGTTCCAAGGTGGGTTTGGTAAAACAATGGAGGGAAAAGCCAATGCAGAATCACTCTTAGTAAGAGGCAGGACAGAGGAGGCCCAAAAGATACATTAAATATTGAGAAGCACAATATGGCCACTGCCTTAAAAGCTGGAAGCTGCCAAACATTCCACGGGTTTTTAAAAATTATTTTTAAAAGAGTTTCAATCCATTTGCCACAAAAGCAACTCTTTGGCTGCAGTCACAAACACTAAATAATCCATTTTCAATGCACTTTCCAACTGGATTTTTCCAGTTCACACAGTAAAATACAGTCAGATAGTGCACTGAAAGTGGATTGAAAGTGGTTTATTTAGTGTGCGTGACCACATGGGTAAGAGTTTTTGGTTTACTTTGCTTTATTATGTTTTGTCTTGAAAGCAAAATTCATGGCTCAGGAGTGTTGTGGATACTCTCTCACATATTTTAACAAAACTCCAAGGTTTTTAGACAATTCACGGGCCCCTGGAGGAACTATGCCATGTGAAACCTTTGCCTCCTGAAAGACCTCAAGCAGATGGCTGCCAACAGGGTGGAGTGGAGGACTGAAAACAAACTAAGCGGGCTGCGTCATATTTTCAGAGACAATGCCCAGTTCCCTCAAGGTGCAGCTTGGAACAATCATGAACATGAATCTCACATTCTTTGTCCCACCAAGTGGGGGGGAAAGTCTCCATGCTTTGCACATTGTCTTTTCTTCTATGTACAAGCAAGATGGACTTGTTATTAGAGAAGGGATGGCTACCACTCAATGGCAGAATATGTGCTTTACATCAAAGCTGTTCTAATGTATACAAACAGCCTCTAAGACCCTAACATCTCAAGATAAAGGGTGGAAATGGTAAAGGCTAAGCTGGAGGAGGAGGTCACTCTTGTAAAAGGTTCTACCTTGCAACAAGACCCTTGGGAATGGATGAAGCATTAGGAAGTCAAAGCAGGACGTGAATTGATACCAGCTTCTCCAGCAACCAATAAGAGCTCTATGTGGGTCTACCATCACTTCATTGTCCATTCAGGAAGTAAAATGACCATTTTCCTCTCCTGTCTCCACAAGATTCCATAGCCATACTTTCATCCTCCACCAATATAGCACCATGTCTAGCAACCACACCCTTTGGCATAAAATGAACCTCAAACTTCTAATTACTCATTGTATGAATTTACAGTCCTGCAGACAAAGGCCCCTTGAATCAAAATCAAAATTTTAACCACAAACAGCCACCCCAGAAGTGAGCACACAGACCAGTAAACCCAGAACAAAGCAACCGTCAACGGAAGAAGAAATCGAGACAATCCTCACCGACAAAGTGGGTCTAACCGACACTGGCTCCGGAGGTCCAAGCAGTTTGGTTTCTCCTTGTCCTCATAGGAGCAGTCAGGGACAATAGTTTGCCGACGGCGCTCAGCACAGGCCTGGTCCTTACAAGAACAGAAGAGCATCCGAAAGGTATACTCGCTGGGCACGCGGTCAAAAAACTGGCGCAGGTATTTGTGGCACTTGCGGCGGTTGCAGCGGTAGGTGTCGAAGGGCTTGTTGCAGTTAGCGATGTAGGTTGAACGGAGCGTCTTGCAGTTGTCATTCAGGTTACAGGCTTTGGCTGCATCTAGGCAGTGGTTACTTTTGGAGTTGGTGGCAGGATCCATTCCTGTCCAAGAAAAAAAAGTGAGTTATGGAAGGGGCAGTCAGAAAGGGCATGGCAACCAGGGATGCCATTCCCCAGTTGGGGCTGGGAGAACCCTGGGTTTTTCAAGCTCCAGCCCACTGCCAGCCAGCTGGCCAGCAAGGGGGAATCCCACCCCCAAATGCAACATGCTGCTGTCATGCAGACGTGACGTCATCACATCAGAGACATCGTTTCGTAACATTCTGGTTTGGGGGCAAAACTCTATGGCTTGAGGGTGATTTTACCACAGAGTTTTGCCCAAAAACCAGAGCATCACCAATGTGAAGATGTCACTTCTGTGTGATGCCAGCATATCACATCACTCTGCCCCCACTACCAGAAATTCCATCTCCCTCCCCCACCAGCTTGATCATCAGACCTGGCAACCCTAATGGCAACACATGGGCCCTGGGGAGGGGCTACAGACAGGCCTCGAATGGCTATGAACAGCAGGAACACATAGGGCCACCAAGAGGCGGGGCTGGGGGGGCAAAATTCCGGGGGCTGGCACCTGAAGCTGGTGTCATGCTGCTTTCAGAATGCATCAAATTTTACTTGTAATAAAGTTCTCCACTGCAGCCACTGGGGGCAGGAGAAAGGCAGAGCACAGTAAGCAGCAGTAGCTCTGCTTTTGGCTTGCTGTGCCTTTCTGCAGAGTTTACTCTGTGTGGTGTGGTGTGTGTGTAAAGTGGTTTGCCATTGCCTTCCTCTGCAGAGCCATCCTTGGTGGCCTCCCTTCCAAGTACTGACCCTGCGTAGCTTTCAAGATCTGACAAGATCAGGCTGTACCACGCCACCTTACCTCCCATCTATATGTGTACAAATATAAAATTACAAAATTTAAACACAAGGTTCAGAACAGGGCTTTTTTTCTGGGGTAATGCACCGGAACAGAATTCTGGCTCCTCTTTGACAAAATTCTTTGAAAAACGTTTAAAAGTTCATGAGTTTTCCGTATGCAGATTGAAAACTTAATTTCCCTCTTTAGAGTTCCGGCACCTCTTCTTCTTTTTTTTCAAAGCGCCCTGGCTTTGATCAGGGTCATGGGGGGGGGGGGCAGGTGGAATCTGTGTCCAGGGGCCCATGGTGGCTCTTCGCAGCACTGTCAGTCTAGCAATGGAACTGGTTGCTTTGAGGGGTGAAAGAGCCTCTTTCTTTAGAGGCTGGAAGTGAATGGCTGGGTCATCACCCGCCTACTCTTCTCTGATCCACAGACAACAGGAGATCACACCTCTTTGGGAAGGAGCAGTTCCGGAATACATGCCCTTAGCCCTAGTCTCACATTACACTGATTGCCAACTATAGATGCTTCTAATCAAAGACCCAACCTGGTGTAGCCATGGTTAAAGTGTCAGATTAGGATCTAGGAGACCCATGTTCACATTTCCCCTCCACCACGGAAGTTCACCGGGTGACCTTGGGCTAGTCACTCACTCTCAGCCTAACCTACCTCACAGGGTTGTTGCTGAGAGGATAAAATGGAGGAGAGGGGGGAACAATGTTGAAAGCCACTTTGAGTCCCATCAGGGAGACCTTAACAAATAATGCTTAAGGGCACCCATGCCTAAAATTGAGGCCCCTGCCCCTTTAAAGTACTCAGGGGTAACAAATAGAGAAGCCCTCCGAAGTAAGAAGGAAGGTTTTCACAGAATGGTCACTGTGTGGATAGTTGTGCTGGGATCCTTTACTTTTCCTGCATTCCACACACAGAAACCACCCATGTTCTGAGCTTAGGGCTGCCAGCCTCTAGTTGGTACCTGAAGATCTCCTGCTATTACAATTGATCTCCAAAGGACCAAGATCAGTTCCCCTGGAGAAAATGGATGGTGGACTCTATGGCTTTGGATGGTGGACTCTATGGCATTATGCCATGCTGAGGTCCCTCCCCTCTGAAACCCCGCCCTCCCTGCCCAGACTCTGCTCCCCAAATCTCCAGGTATTTCTCAACTAAGGTTGCCAGCTCTGGGTTGGGAAACACCTGGAGATTTGGGGGGGTGGAAGCTAAGCAGGGCTGACCCTGGCAAGTATTTGGATGGGTAGACCATAGATTCCACCCTCTAAAGCAGCCATTTTCTCCTGGGGAACTGATATTTGTAGTCTGGAGATCAGATGTAATGCTGGGAGATCTCCAGGCCCCACCTGCAAGTTGGCAACCCTATTCTTAACCCAGAGCTGGCAGCCCTGTCTGAGCTGCTAAGAAAAGGCAGATCCCTTGACCAGTTGGATATATACAACATTAGAACATTTGCAGCCAGAATAGGACTCTCTGGCTTTATTCATATTACATTATATTAGAGTTGCAATCTCCTGGGATTGCAACTGGTCTCCAGGCCATAGAGATCTGTTCACCCCCCCCCCCAACCCCCCCCCCCCCCCCGCCAATCTCCAGATAGTTCCCAGCGCAGAGCTGGCAACCCTCATTGTATCTGAAGGCCCTTCACCTTCCGTATGGCCCTGTGCACCAACTATGGTTGTCAGGCATCCATCTGTTGGCTGTCTCACCTCTCAGGGTGGCCCACCTGGCACCAGCCAAAGCCTGGGCCTTTCCCACCATGGCATCAGCTCCATTGAATGGACTTCCCGAAGGAGTGAGGGTGGCCCCTTCCCTGTTAATCTTCAGGAGGCACTGCTAAGTCTGCTTGTTTGTCAGGGCTTTTGAGGGGGTCTGAACAGCCGGCATCTTTTAAGGGGGCGGGGGGGGGGAGATCTGGCATGTGCTATTTTATTTTGGTTTGAATGGGAAATGTTTTTAACTATTATTGTAAGCCGCCTTGAACCGCAAGGAAAGGCAGGATATCAATGTTTTAATAAATACTTAGATAAACCATTCATTCTAGAAATATCCAATGAGCAGCAATTGGAAATTGGTCACAGTCCCTCCCGCCAGTGAACCAATGGCCAATTTCCTATGATCTGTTTAGCATTTGCTGTTTGCAAAGACTGGCTCCGGAGAGCCATGCCAATGTAAGAGGATAATGGGTTATGCCTTCACTGTTAAGGGCATTATTCCACAACTCCTCCTTCAGCTGCAGAAAACTGTGTTAGAATCAGCTCTCAGTCCAAGAAAAAAAAAGGCACATCTGAAACCACAAAAGCCCCATATAATCACAATGTACAGGGCTAGCCTGTGCTACGTGTGTGTTCTGAAATTGGGGGATATGCTTAAAAAGTGGAAAATCCTCTCCTGCCAAGTCAAGCTGGAATCCCTGCATCTGTCCTGGAACATCAATTATCAGCACAAGAAAGAAGGTTGTGGGAAGGAGGGAGGGAAGGACAAAAGCAGGATGTTTGTGTGTGTGTTTTTGTCAGAATGATGAATTACCCTCCAAAAATCTAGTAGGCACCCTGATAAAGTCACCCACCCACTGCAGTAGTTTCCTCCTTCACCCGCAAACCATGTGGATTCAGGAGTCAGCCTTTGCCCCCCAGTTCAGACTGGCAGGGACAAGCGGGGGAGACCAGGAGGGCTTCCTAAAAGAACAATTTCTTGGCCTGCACTGTGGCCATTAGCAGTACCCATCTTCAGTGAAGCCTCCACTGTGATTTTGACTGCCCATAGATCCCTCCCAGGCTGCAGAGAGAAGTGGGGCCCGAGTCCTTTGACATTATGCCTGCCCACCTCTAACAAGAGCCCAGTAAGCTGCGTTTCCTAGGGGAATCTGGAGCAGAGAAATCAGCCCTATTCTGCCCGCTGCTGTTCTACCACAATTCCTCTCCCACAAGCTGGCTTACTCAGTTGCATGACTGCCAAGGAATAAAAGCAAGTTGGGGTCACAGAAAGCCCAGTTGGGGGGTCCCAGTTTTGAGACATCATCTAAAAATCCACCCCGGTTGCAACAAGAGAGAGCTGGTATGTCACATACACAACCGTTAGAGTGCAAATGTGCCATGCACTGTGAAAATCCTTGGAATCACAAAGTAATTACCAACTGTCCTCTTGTCTGAATATCACTTATCAGTGGGGATTTATCAGATGTGAACGAATTTCTCTTGCCAGTCATTTACTACCTCACCATCACCCACCGTGAACCTTAATAGATCATCTTTTTCTCCAAGATGGAAAACTGTGCTCAGTTAGACCTTTCAACCTTATAAGGAACTTAGGTTAGAGAATCCTTAGAACTCACTCCCTTAGCTGAGAGCCTTCCTTTCTGGGTCAAGTTGGACCCCCTGCCCTGCAGAAGGCTCTACTCCTGGACAAGCACCCAGCACTAACTCGGGTCACCCTCCTCCAGGTGGGGCCTGGAGATCTCCCAGAATTACAAGTGATCTTCTGACTACAGAGATCAGTTTCCCCTGGAGGGAACAGACGTTTCAGAGGGGTGAGGTCTATGCAGGGCTGCCAGCACGAGGCTGAGAACTGGTAGGAGACTCGCCAGTGAGAGGGATCCCTCTCTACCAGCAATGTATGGAGATCACTGGAAACAATGAGATCGCTTCCATTGCAGCCGGCGGTGACGTCATCACATCACCCATTATAGCCCCCCATTCCCCATTTTTCTTCTGCTACCCAGCTGAGGGACGGCAGAAACAGCTGGGGGGGGGGAGGTTTCCTGCCAATGCTGGGGGCCTGGCATCCCTCACTCTATGTATAAAGACAAATATGGTCACAGTCCATAGACATGAAAAGATAGAGCCACAGGAACTGTGTAAAGTGCACTCAATGTTTCTTTAACGATAGCAATAATATTATAAATATGAAAATTACAAAAATGATACTAATACACTCAAATTGTAAATCCAGTTATAGAAGATAACAAAGACGGTGGGACGGTGGTCTCTGGAATGTGATGCCATTTCAACAACGTCTTCTTCTGACCAAGAATCTATAAGAAATTTTCTCCAATATTTTATGCAAAGAAATAGGTGGAAAATGTCATTGAACTCCATGTGAATTGGGTAGCTTTTCTATTGAAGTGCAACTTTCCACACATCATCCACTTATAGATTCTTGGTCAGAAGAAGACGTTGTTGAAATGGCA